CCGTTGTTACCGTTGAAAGTTAGTCTTATTTGGGACAATGTCAATGATAATTTGAAATTAGATGTATCTCAATTTCAGAAGTTACAAAATTTTAAAGTAACTAAATGCATCATTTTAGCAGCATATGGTATACTGTTTGATCCCTTAGGAATTATGAATTCATTTACTATTCGAATTAAACTCTTAATGCAAACTGTGTGGGAAGAGGGTATTCAATGGAACGAGAATGTTTCTAACTACCACTTGTCATTGCATGTAATATATGAATTAAATTTGCATTTCATATCTATTTAAAATTTTTTAATAACTAAAATCCGAGACCATTTCCAATATAATAAACAGAATACTGAAAATCTAAAGATTTAATATTATAATATCTTATATTCTAAACTTGACATTAATCAAATATATTTTTGTGATTATATATAACTAATAAATTACATTTCACATTTATTTTTCAGTATTATTTATTACTTATAATCATTTCCTTATTTTCCACTTAATCAACAGTTTGATATAAGGAATATCAGTCAGTTAATTTATGGACTAATATTTTTTATGATATTGCATACAAATCACCCAATGCAAACCGCATAGCACCTAGGTGCAGATGTCTGGCAAGTCCCCTATTCTACACTTTGCATGCTTTCAAGAGAGAAAACAGTAGTCATAAGCAGGGCTGTGAAGTCAGAATCGGAGTCGGGCAGATTTTAGGGTAAAAGGAGTCGAAGCTGGAGTCGCTAAAATCAGGTCGTCTCCGATTTCAGTTTTTGTGGGACAGTTTGAATTTGAAATGAAATTAAAATAAATTGAAAAAATTAATGACAAGTTGAGTTACTTTTATTTTATGGTTTATATACATTAATAAATAGTTATTTTCAATTTTATTGACATATTAATAAATAAATATAAGGTAGGAGGATGGATGTGATATTTGCCATTAAGGATTAAACTGATTTCATTTAGTTACAGATCTCACTGGTAAATTTAGGTAAGCAGCAATAGCAGCAAGAACTCCCAAAATTGATGCCATTCTTAGGAAGCAAGTAGGAAAAGGAGTATTATTGATCAAACAACGCAATAAGGAAGTACGTATTTGATGATAAAGAAGTTTTTAGAATTAGGAACTTTTTTAGAAGATGTAGCTAACTCTAATGTTTCACTAACACAAAGATTTGGAATGATCTTGCAGAACTGGAAACTCTTCTTTCTACACTGTATATAGCCACAAAAAAGCTGCAATCAGAAGAATTGACAAGAGGCAAGAATGGAAGAATGGGATATATGTTCTTTCTGAAATGGAGGGTTTATTGCAGAAGGATTCATTTCTTCAATGAAGAAAAGAGAAACTAGCTTTCTAGACAATGAGGTCTTGCTGGTTCAGTACATGTAGATCCGAAACACTGAATTTTCTTGGATGACGAACAAATTAAAAGTGCAAAGAAAGCCATCTATGAACTTTCATTAAAAAGGAAATTATTCTGAGAACAATTAGAGAATTCGAATCAGCACAGTCAAACTGCAGACATTGCAACTGAGTCTCTATCATCCTCTTCCAGTGATGAATTAGATTTTGAGAAATATTTTTGGATAATATTGAAAAGGCCAAGGCAAAGCAAATGAAAATAAAGAACCAAGAGCCTTTAGATATAAAAATGAAAAAATACAAACAAGATTTCTACACGGCCTTTGAAGAAGTAGAGAAATATGATTGCGCTTGCAAGACATCTCTTTTAGAACTTAGAAAAAATTTATCCTGAAAAGTTAAAAGAAGTACTCCTAACAGTTACAGCTTTTCCTCCCATTCAGGTTAATGTAGAAAGACTCTTCTTAGCTCTTCTCAAATCGGATCTATGGTCCTCCAATAAAGAAGATCTTGCCGAAGCTATACTGTTTCTTAGAAATAACTGCCTGTTTTTCCATTTCATAATAAATGCTAATTAATATAAATAATTTGCTATGCCATAAATTTTCTTTTCTTTAGCATCTATTACTTCATTTATTTTTAAAAAAATAAGCTGTAATCCATGTGTATATGTTTACATGTATATATATGAGGGAGTCGGAGTCTTTAAAATTACAGGAGTCGGAGTCGGTAATTTTCCCTACCGATTCCACTGCTCTGGTCATGAGGACTTATAAGATGTGTAATGTTGCATCAGCAGTTCCATCTTTTTAGGTTCATTCTGTGATTACTGCTGCTGAAATCTCCTGGATGGAAAGATCAGAATTTTTTTTTTTGGAAGGGGGTCCTCAAACTTAACATTTGACTGAAACATCTCAGGGAAAACAGTTTTTAACAGTAAAAACTTCAGAGATGTGGGATGCATCCATTCATAATCATATCTCAAACTGTTCGCTTCTGTTTATCTTTCCCATTTTTTAATGAGTAGAGATATCTACTCATTAAAAAAGGGGGGGAGAAGATATCTAAACTCCCATTTTGGGAACTTTCGCTTCTCGTCAGGAAAACCTCCGAATGAGTTGATCAAACAGGTGATTTCTTTATCATGGCAAAAGAAACCTGTTAATTGTAAGGACATGTCTTAATAGTATACATGTTATGATAACTGCCTAAAATTTGGGGGCCTTACCTAAGTTTGGGCCTAAAGGCCTAAGTGTTAATTATGCCCTACAGTAAAAGCCCAGTTATCCGGCATTCAACTAACTGGAAGGCTCAAATAATGAGAATATTTTAGAATTTTAGTAACTTTTTTTCTCCGGAAAAGTTTAATAAATGAGAGATTTCCTGCTCGTGTTACTGTTAATATGTATACATTGTGGCCAAACTGTTATTCTGCACTAGTAATAGCATATATCACAGCACAATCATAAGATCATTTTGGTTCAATGTAAATTCAATTAATTCTTGAGAAGCCAGTTAATTTTTGCAAAGAAGGATATAAATAATATTTTTTCTCACATTTTGAAAAAAATATTAATATTTGGAACTGCATGAAATAAAATATTTTCAAAGTTACAGGGGCATCAAAAAAGCCACCATATGCAGCTTTGAAAACAGGTAAACAATGACAATGTAAGGTAAAAAATTATGATAAATGATTTTTATATGCTGTGTTCATAATTTTTATCCCTTTATTATCGTATTAAAATTAAGAATGAATTAAACTTCTGTCAGAATGATTGACGACATCTTTGCCAACTGTCATGTTTGTCAAAGTTATTGATATGCACTCCGCCATGGAAATCTGAATGTCAGCTGTAGGTTTTTGATATTCAAGTTGGTAACAAATAAGGTGATTGCTTTTAGAATTTTAGGGAGAAACTTTTTCCCACTAATTTAACTTTTCTAACATGAATTCTGTTTTTTATGTGCTTAACTATCCAGATTTGGCATTTCCCGAGCTTTCCAGACAGTGGAATACAATATATGGAAAAATGTCCAGAATTGAGAAATTTCTAGACTATTCATCTATTCTCTTCTAGAATCATGTAATCATTTATTAATTGTTAAGCATGAAAAAACCTATCACAGTATTGGAAGAATGTTAGTGATTTAAATGAAAAATATGTAATTGATTAAAATTCATTTTTACTTTAAAAAGTGACATTATACATTACATACTTTCTTATATTGTTACATTAAGTAAGTAATGTATTAACTTACATTACTTAATTTGCATACTTACATCACTTACCTTACCTTTGTTACTTCAAAACATGACATTTCTTTCAAACCTCTTCAAGAAATGACATTATGGTAGACGTCACTTAAAGGGATCACAGTTAATGTCATTCAGATATTATTATTGACTTGCCAAAGTCCCCGACCTTTTGTATACAAAAAAAAAACACTGAAGTTACACCATTTATTGTGATCAACAATTTGGTTAATATGATCAAAATATTATATAATAAAGTTTTCAAACCAAAGGCATCAAATAAAAGATAAATTCACCAGATACGATCAGAATAGACTATAAAAATATCCAAGTGGCTGGAAAGCGTCACCTGATGAGGACAAGATTGTCAAACATCTTGATCTCAATTTCAGTCTATCATAAAATTAGACAGTAAAACAAACTAGTTTTGTATAGATTTTGAATATAAATTTTGAGGGCAATCAGACATATCATTTTTCTTCAGGATATCTGCAGAACATTTTCCTTGGGGGGGGGGGGAAATCCATGAAAACATCTGTGAAAAACTAAGGTTGCTTTATAGCTTAATTTAAAATTTTACTTCAGCATGTTCATACGAACGTTGAGATTATAGATACACTACTGGTTAAAGAATTTCCAGAAAGAAAACAAACAGTTCATAAATAAGCTTTGCATTAAAAACATCATGAACTATTCCTAAACAAACAATAAGGAGATGCATTTGCTAAATAGGCAGTATTGTTGAGGTTTGTGCAGTGCTAAGTCTCTGCAGTTCTCTGCTTTTTTTAAGTGAAAACAAATTGCTGTCTTTGGGAGAAGAAAAGCACAAAAAAATTACAGAATGATTTTGAGACAAATGTGTTTTATTTTTTGAACATATCAGATAATCTTTATTTTAAATTGCTTAAGTATGTTGATTTTTCATTTGTTAATATTGTTTGCCGACATATTATAAATATGAATAGTTTGAGAATCTTTTCTAAAAAAGTTGCAGAAACCACCAACTTGCAGCCAATAAGTAACTTTTACCTTTTCATTTGTAAAAGATTACGAAATTGTGCCAAGTGTTAATGCATAAGTAACAAAAAAATCGCTTTAATTGTAGTTTCAAAGTGCATTCAAAACTTTCTTCAAAAAATGACATTGCTTACTTATTTTACCACAGTACTTATCTTTCATTTCATTACTTACTTATTTAACTAAACCTATTTAAAAAAATTATATTACTTTCAAAACCTACTTCACAAAATGGCATTATTAATTGAATGACCTGACAGATTATTTTTTAGTGTTCATTTATATTTTAAAAAGTGCAAATTCTGTTGTATGTGTGTATTTCTACCATATTTTGTATTAAATTTTATTATATTCTGACAGGAGGATTGGTGGATAAGTGCATTAAAGAACCCGTGGTTCTTGCAAAAGCTAAACGTGAGGGTATACGTGCCGTCCATCTTCCATTTGACGAATACTTAATGTAAGATTTAATTAATTTTTTTTCTTATTGGTAACAATATTTTATCTGTAAGAACTTATAAAATTCTTACTGATGTGTGTATGTTATATCTATCGATTCTCCAGTTTCCCTTTTTCTGAAATCTGTTTATATTTTAAGATTAAAAATAATACAAAAATTAAATAAATATAATCTAATCATTTTGTTCAATACTTTTCTTCATATTCTTAGTGTAATTTTATCTTTAAGTTATTTTGTATTAGGATTTTTTTCTATACTGTATATACTAAAAAAAGTGTAAAAGGGACGGAAAGAAATCTTTTAAAAGGGTCGATGCAAAAGAAAAAGTTTGGAAATGTCTGGTTTAAAAAGTATTTAATATTTAGCGAAGTATATAATTTGGAAGAAATGTTATTTGTAAGAAGGGTTGCAATGTGTTATTGAATACATTCTATTGCAGAAATATTTTTGAGGCTTTTTTTCAAATAAAAACAGTTACATATTTTAGATTAATAGCAAAAGAGTTTTTAATACACAGTAATTAATAGATATTAATTACATGACATATATACATTTTAATGGGTACTCTTTTACATGTTATGTACAGTGAAAAGTCTTTAATCCGGACTCGTCGGGACTTCGGTGCTTCCAGATTATTGGTTTTTCCGGATTATTCTGGATTATAGATCATCAGTTTAAATCTGGTAAGATGGCATGCTGAAGTTTAAAATGAAAAAATAAAAATATGAAACTGTAATTTATGAAATAAAGAGCAATTATGATTCTAAAAAGTTATTAAAATTTACAAAAAAAGAAAAAAAAAAAGCATAATATTTATTTGCTTTACTTTATTAAACATTTCTTTCATCATGCACATGTGTAAAGCATACATTACGCATAATCGAAATTAGAAAATTGGCAACCAGAAAACTATTTCATGTGTATTCGTGATATTTACAATGACGAGGATTTGATTTAAATCATATCAGAGTACATCGAGATGAAATACTACTTTAGTAAAGAATTATAAAGCCGAATAAATAAAAAACATCTGCTCTGAACATAAGGATAGTGTTCCTCCCCCCCCCCCCCCGGCAGAGCAGCAGGAAATTGATAAACAGATTTCGGAATGGGTTAGAGAAACAAAAGATATGCCTTTATCCGTTTTTACAGCAATTCCACTTTTTGTTTAATGGACATCGAAAAATGCTTTTGCCGCTTTGCAGATCCTTTTGCAGCTTCCAGAATTAGAAACTTCTTTTTGACCTAATCAAAAGTTCAAGGTCACTTAATAAATTGCATAAAACTGCTGTAATAATAACAGCCTGCAATAAGCTGTATCAAATTAGAAGGAGAAGAAGCAGTGCAGTCTGCTACATTAACTGAAATAGATAATTAATAATTTAGCTTAATTATACCATCCGTTATACATTAAACGTGCATGCATAAACGTATCGGGCTGCCTTCAGACGGCGGCGTTAAGGGCGTAGAGGCAAGTCATAAGGGCATAAATACAAGAATTCCGTTCACCTTGCGAGAACGGCGTTAAGCCGTGGCCAATGAGAGAAGCTAAATTGCGCTGCGTGGATGTGTCTACAATTACCCGCACTGTCTCTGCGCGATTTAATTCCCGTGTTCGCTCTGCTGTTTTGATGGCGAAATTTTCTGTATGGAAAATGCCGCTTCGTTTTGCTTCGCGCTGATGGTCGCGCTTATCCCAAACTCGGCGTAAGTTGAAAACTTGAACCCTATGCCACGAGCCTTAAACCAGATTTTGTGACGTAGCCAGACTGGTTGCCTTGGCAATGGAGCTTGGCTTTAACCACTTATGCCCTCTATGCCCCCGTGTGAACGAACCTTTACGTGCATGCGTAAACGCATATGCTCATGTGCGCGTTTATGCATGCACAGAAAGTTTGTAGCTTTGAGGTCGGATTATAGATTATTCCGGATTAAAGACTTTGAGTGTATTTCTTATCCATATCTTATTAACAGATTATTTATTTTATAATAAATAATACTTTATATCTTGTTTACAGGTGGGGGAGAGGCAACAGGAGTCTGCCTTTAACCAAATTGGAAATATTGTTGGAGATGAAAACACCAATGACTGGCAAAAGCTTCGCTATGTGCCTCAGAGAAAACTTGTGCGAACTTTAGATCTGTACTCAGAATTCTAAGTGTACAGAATCTTGTAAATACTTTTATTCATAAATAAAAAAAGAAAACTAGTATTTAAAGTAAAATTTTTTTGTCATGGAAATCCTGATTTTTTCCATGCATGTATTTGATGCAAAAGCAAAGTTTAAAGTTGAAAAGAAAAAAAAAAAAAAAATTTAGCAGAAGAGAATCTAAACTCCCTAAGGTTATATACTGTGCACATGAAGACAAAAAATTTTAAAACTAACCAATTTATTAACAATATATAAAAATAAAAACACAATGAATAAAGTTAATCAATATCAGAAACTTAAAGAGTTAACATAATCATTATCAGAAAATTACACTTTGATTATCCCATTAACCCCAAGGGTTTTCCTTAAAGAATTACACTATTAAAGACACAATAAATATTACCTTATCAGGTTCAATGTTTTCTACCTTCTTTGGAAACATACAGACCTGCTAGAACAGAGAGCT